ACGATCGTGTTTCTTCCACCCCCTCAATGTCCATCGTTTCACACCGGCCACTTTCATCGACCACGTTTCTCCGACATCGTTCACTACGTTCGGTCCCTTCGTCGAACAACTCTGTCCACGAACAGCTCTGTGGCCGATCTCTGTTCGATGCGACTCGAATCAGGGATTTTTTCGAGCCAGTGCACGCTCGATGGTAGCCACGACTCGACTGGCCGACTCGTTGTTGGCCAGATTCTCGTACAGTGGAGGAGGAACCGGCGATGAACGCGGCGCGACGCGTTTATTAATTGTCACTCGCGAGCACTCGAGAGGGCCGCGTGCACCCTTCCGCGGCGAGCGTGCTTCGGTCAAGTGTGCTTGTCGCTGCTCGTGGAGACTTATTTTTCGAATTAGTCCGCGGCCACTTCGCTGCCAGCTTCCTTCTTCCCTTCCATCCGCGCCCGCCATCTTCCCCTTCTATGCCAGCCACCCCCACCAGCCAAACATCCCTCCACTCTCGTCGATCAGCGGCCGTTCAGAGGATCGTTCCTTCTCGTCCATCGACTCAGAACGCTGGTTTTACGTATCTCTTTGGTGATCCTTCGACGTTTGACATAAAGGGATGAAACGGGGTGGAATGGTAGATTCGTCTTTTCGATGATTGTACGATTTGATATTTTAGATTCATTTAAATCATGAATTTGGCGTTCTAAATTTGATTGATCTTTACGGGACTCTCGAAATCATTGTTTGAGATCAGTTACTGTCTTTTTAGCTGTGAATTGTTTTTATGAAACACGTAAATTATTTTTATGAAATGGTCCTACATCTTTCGTTTGATTATCTTTCACTTACTCTCGTATCTGTTCACTTCTTTTCGTTTTACGTTCGCTCGGTAGTTACAGTAGAGTAAACCCTGTCTGTACAGACTCTCTGTCTGAAGAAGTTCGCTCAGTTAAATAGTAAAGTTATAATTGTTTAACTTTCTTGCACTCCTGTTCTTTCTTCACCGCTTCAGTTTCCAACGTCAGTTGAAAATACAGTAGAACAAACAGAAAATACAGCACAGTAGAGCAAACCGTATTTGTGCAGACTTCCCTAAGAGGTGAGAGTTCAATTAGAGAATGAGATTACAACCTTTCAATCTCCTTATTTCTTCTTTACCCCTTCAATTTAGTTACCAAATCTGCTATACTAAACCTATCATAAAATTCTAACATTTTTTTCTACCTCGAAATTATTATTTACTTTCTCTTGCGTTTCGCTTTCAACGCCTTCGTCCCAACCCCTAAATTCACAGTGATTACGCGTTCCTCGGTCTAGACCTAGCTGGTGGTCGGTGAAAATTCGAGTTTCGCGGGTCGTGGCGTAGGTGGAGCTTTAAACGAGGTGCAGATTGAAAGCGGGACGCCCGACGAAGCTTCCGTCACGACGCAAGCCTCGCCCTACGACCAATCCACGGCTCTGGTCGCGTCGTCGCTTTTCCACAGGAACCAATCGACGATTCCTAGAAGCTCTTCAGCTTCGAGGTGACGAGAGAACCAGTTCTCGGAGTGGGATCTTTCCTCGCGTTCTTTCTTTCTTTCTTTCTTTCTTTTTTTTCACAGTCGCCGCAACGGGGGTGACGAAGGGTTGCTCGACCAAGTGAAACTCTTTCAGGTATCGCGTCCTCGTTTCGCGACAGTAGAGCTACTTCCTCCAAGTATTCTCTCGTTGCACGGTCCCCTGGGAAATTTTGATTATCCTCGAGATCGGTGAACCATCCGATGCTCGATTTAAGTGCTCAACAGCTTAAGAATCGGGGTGGTTGTAGACTTTGCGTATTCGCAGTATTCGTCAAAGGTAACTTGAATCAGGAAAACAACTTGCAATTATTGAGAATCACGTTTGTCTAGGACCCTTCGAAAAAATAAAATCGATAAGGAATTTCAATGAGAAAAATCAGTAAGAGACTCTGGCAAGCTTGAAGCACCCTCTCAATTTTTGGATAAAACAATGTTTTCTTCAAACATTTCTTCAAACATTTCTTCAAACATTTCTCAGGGAAATGAGATTATACGTTAAATTGCCTACTGTTTATAAACTGTTACCATTTAAATTGTATTTCTGATTAACTTATTGATGGAGATTGGTGGATACTCTAAATTTTTGAAGCAGTGTCTGCTGTAGTATCATTTTATTAAATAGTTTTCACGTGATTATGTAGGTACACGATCCTATAATTTCGACAATCTTTTACAGATAAAATTCTCAAGGGACACAGTTTAACACACCATGCCTATCTTTTCAACTTATTTGCCAAATCTTACTTACAAAATTTTATTCTCGTTTATTTGAAAACGAAGTTGCCTGCTTTTGCAACCAGTAGACGAGCCAGACCGTTGTTTCTGCGGACCGTCGGAGCTACTTGGAGACTTGGCTCTTGGAATCTGAAATCTGTGATATTTCACAGGTGAGAGACGCGAGCAATTGGCGATGGTCGCTCCGTGAATCGCGTTCTAACGCTTTCAAAAAGTTGCCCCCGGCCGTGGGATGTGGGTAGATAGAGACGGTTACGGTTCGTACGTACTTCTCGTCTCGTATCGAGTCGAGAGGAGCCGAACGGTGCATATATAGGGTATGCTTTACATAACAATCGCCGCTAAAGACTTGTCAGCATTGTCCGCCACGTGCTGTCAGCCGAGTTCCTATGGCGGTTTAATTAAGTGTGAACCACAGGAGCGTGGATCACGCCTCACTTGATCCGATGATGGCCTCGCGCGTTCCAGATATCGACGAGGAAATAATTCCACGTTTCTTCCGCGATATTTCTTGGAATTCGTCCCGCCGCAGCCTTTCAGTTTTATTCCGATGGACAAAAATCAACGCGTGACCATATCAATCGTTCTTAACGATATTCGTTAAGAGCCAGAATATTTGTTCTTTGAGATATATAAAAGGTGAATTATTCAAAGTGCCTTCGATGGATGAAAGGATGAAAGGATATGTGATGATCGTATGTTGCAGAATGAGCTGATTTTTATACATTCACTTGCGAGAAATTTAAAGAACATGCAGAAGACGCGCAGACTCTATAAAAATATATAATATCTTTTTGATTGATTTTGGTCCTTTAGTGTGTCAGAAACCATTCAATTGTCGTTAAAGAGATCGGTAAGAGGGTGGATTCATCCTTTAAACGTTATTTTTTATTGTTCCTCGAGTACAATCTGAATCTACGAATTCTGTTAACCGTTTCTTCAGTCATGTTAAAAAATCCACAGTCCAGTAAGTAGTTACGAGACAAAGTGTTAATACATTTTGCTAAGATCACCCAGAAAATACCTTCGCGGGAAACAATTCTCGAGCATGTTGCAAACTGAACAAGGCGCCGGTTCTTCCAAGTGGCGATCCTCGTGACAAGTATTTCCATCGAGGGATCGATCGACGCGCGAGGGGATCGACAATTAGCAGGTGACGACGGGTAATCGAACCGGAAAAACGACGTCCGCCATTTCCCTATTAGCCATTCCAGGGGTTGACAAAGAGAGGAGTTTCAGAGAAAGGACGTGCCGTCTCGGAGACGGCGATCTCTCGAAGACGGACCACGGCCTTCCTTCTCGATGGAACCGCGGCTCTCTTTTTCTCGATTCGATCTAATCAATAATAAATTATAGGGGGACGTCGGTACATCTCTCCCCTAGGAGCTAAGCCCTGACCCTCCCGCTCAATTGGTCGCAATTCTTAAAGACCTTAATTGGCGCGGAAAATTATACCTTATTTCAGTTACCCTCGAACGAGACCAGCCACCCCCTCTCCACCCCTGTGGAACGTCGCTAGCTTCGCTGCTGGTACGGCGGTTCGCTTTCTTACGAGCTCCACTCGGATATTTCCTTTTGCTTCCTTCGTTCCGATCGGGCTCCTACCGATCCGTGGAAACTCCTCGAGCCACTTTCACATCGTCTCGAATCGTGATCGCTTGGAAATCGTCGTTTCCCGCGCGGTGAACTCCGCTCGCTTAAACTGGGTGCAAACGAGCAGTTTGCGTTGCCTCGTAAAAATGATTTCTGAAATTATCTTTTCATCGAGCACAGTGTCATTGTCTACGTATCATTTCATTTATTTTGAACCAAACGAGATGAGAATCAAGTCGATCTTGATGAATCTACATCTAGCAAATTTTTGTGACTTTTGCTTGTGTTCTGAACGTCATCGTATATTAATTAAAAGAAGAGGGTTAATTTTAATAGGTTCTTATCCGTCGTCAGCAGGATATATGTAGGACATAAAAAAAATTTACTAATATTTTTCTCCTCTTGATCTAGATCACTGTGCCTTCGTCTGAATTGATCCACATAGAATGATCACTTTACTCGTCAAGCTGCGACACAGTTCGTTCGTTTTGATCGACACAAATTTACAACCTGGTCGCGCATCCCCGTCAATTGCACCATATAAAATTCGAATTCTTCTGAAACGGTACGGCGAACTCGCCACAAAGCGCTTGTCTGCCTTATAAATAGCGTTTCGAGACGTGGATTCGAACGAGATGTTGCGATCATTCGCGAAAACACGAAGTTAGATTCGAGAACGTGGAAGTTGAGACGTGAAAGGTTTGCACGGAAGGGTGGAAAGGAACGCGAAGGGCAGAATATAGAAGCTGATTCCACGAAGATGAGACAGGAAATTCGTGGACGGCGTTTAACTGGCATTTGACGACACGAAAAGTAACGAAGATCTTTGGGGGCTGAAAGGGAAAATGAAGAGAAAGAGAGAGAGAGAGAGAGAGAGAGAG